AGCTAGCATTTTTAAATTCCTCCATATGTAGCCAATTACAATTAACTGAAGTCACTTCGTAAGATTAGAATTTATTCAACTAAACATGTTCATCATTAAAAACAAAAAAGAATAATTTTTTACGATAGTTTTGAAATTAATTTTACTTTCTGAAGTAAAAATTTAAAAACCTGTAATTTTTCTGCACATTGACTTGTACTACACTTTCAATGCTAATTATTATCATGGTTTCCAAAACAAAGGCAATTTGTGGTAAGGAGAGATAGATAAGAAAAATTTAATATTGTTTCAAATGAAAGAGCATAAATAATTAAATTTTTTACTTTAACGGTTTGAATTTTTTTAATACTGAAGGAAGTTCCCATTTCTAACTTATTAATGCTGAAAACTTACTATTTTTCATTTATGCAATATTAAGTTCAGAGTTATACAAGTTTATCTGCACTAGAATGGTAAGCTTTTTTGCCATGTTTCTTTATGAAACACCATCATAGCATATTTAAAAAAAAAAAATAAAAAAAATTATACCATTTAAATTTTAACATAAAAAATTTTTACTAAAATTAAATTTTAATATAAACACTTTTATTTAGAAAGGCTCAATCTAACATTTTCAATATGCTCAATCCGTTTTATATATATTTACTTCTTTTAAAAAGGATGGTAGTATTCAATAAAACTAAAATATGTTAGTATTTGATAAAGTAATATTTTCAATAAAGAAGGTTAAATTTAACAATCAATTAAATGGCACTGATATTCTTATCAATTTCAAGCTGAAGCCACAAAATCTATATTTTATTTTAGTGTAAATATAAACCAATTTTAAAAAATGAAGGAAACAGAAAAGTGTATCGAGATATTCAACCTAACAAATATAACCTTCTGAAATAATATCTAATGTACTTTAATCAATGTCTGTGTTAACATTTGAGATCACAACAAAATGTAGATTATCTAGAAATCTCATGGAAGATGAAGACTATAAAATTATATTTCTTACATTTATGGTACTTGATCAAGAAAAGCTGATATGGGATTGAGATATTTCTGTTTTTGTGCATAATACTGTTAACTAAACATTAGCATAAAAAGGAAATATACATCTCTTTTAGATAGATTTTAATGCATCTGAAAAAAAAAAAAAAAAAAATTATGGTTTAGTTTTTTTATTATTTTATCATTATTTGCATAGCATTATGTTATTTATCTAACTTATAACTGTACACCTTAAATAAAGCATTTAAGAAACTAGAGCTATCACATCTAATATATTATTTATCAAACAATCAAATAGAAGGTGCACTAATATGTACACTTTGAAAAAAGAATAATTAATATGCTTAATAAGTAGTTCAAATTAATTAATGATAATTATTAATGCAGAGAATGTTGAATGATAAAACATTAATAAGTCACTGTTCCAAAGGGATCAAATATGTTCACTATCATAAAATACAGAACAATAAGACTGGTGAAAGATAAAATCCTAACTTTTTACTCATGCTTTGCAATCACTAACAATAAGATGATGAGAGAATGCTAATATCAAAGGAAAAGAAAAGCTCAAAACAGACAATAAGGTACAAATAATTTAAGATTTAAATATGTCCATACACATATATTCAAATTACATTTTTACAGTATATAAAAGATGCTCTGAAATTTTTATGTACATATATATATATATAAAACAAAACATAGGAGCAGAAACTGAAAAAATGCAGAAAAAAATGGAATGCAAAAGAAATGTAATTACATTAAATAAATTAAACATAAATAGCTTGTAAAATAAATATAATACATAATAATATTGCACAAACCACAAAATTGGCTGCTTTTGTAAAGTAATTATTATATACATAAAATAAAGGACGGTAAGAATGTATATAAAGAGATGTAAAACTAATAAAAGGTAAAAATACTTATGTAATAAAATATGTGGCAATTAAATAAGAAAAAGTTTCACGCTTATCTAATTCAAATCATTTTGATTATTGCTGTAAGGTAATTCTACATGTCAGCAAAACATGATTTTTTATGAATAGCACGATTTTAAAGATGATTTTGATAATAAAGTAGTTGCATCGTAAGTTAGTTTCATTAAAATAATCTAGAGAACTGCCCAAGATATTATTTTTAATATAAAAAAGTAAAAAAAAATGCAAATCTCTTTTTAAATTAACAGCAATCTTAAATTTACACCATAAGTTTTAAATCACTGCAAAAATAAAATTCCAGGATAGAGGTTTTTCTAAAAATGATGCAAAGACAGTTTCTGTTAATATATTAAGTTAGATTTATAAAACACATATGAAAAAATAGGAACAGTCTTTTACAATTTGAAATTAAAAAAGCAAAAATGCAGTTTGTAATTTCTTATATAACAGCATTAATTATAACAGAAAAGAGTTAAGTTTGTGTATTAAGATACAAAATGTTCATCAAATATTTTTTAAATAACATAATTTATTATAAATAGTCAGCACAGCATTTCGCAAACTGCACTATTGACTTTCCGACTAAAATGTATGAACAAAGTGAATATGTTTATTTATAAAATAATATGCAATATACATGATATCACAAATATTCTTCTCAATGCAGTGGGAAGCTTAATGTAAAAGACTAATTCCTTGAATGAATGCTTTATAAATTGTTTAATTATACAACCCACATGAAAGGAATATGTACATATTATCATTTAAAAATAATTTTAGTAAAAAAAAGCCTTTTCCTTTTATAAAATATCAAAAAACAGTCTGAATAAATCTTTATTTATGTAAAATGAAAATATTTTTAAAAATTTATATTAAAATTATTATTTGTATGTGTAATTAAATTATTATTTGTATGTGTTGCAATTTAATTCGAACTGCAGAGAAATTTTATTACAAATAGTCTTGAGAAACAATGTTAAATGTAAAAAAAAAAAAAAAAACTTGGTCAAAAAAATTTTGAATCTGAATATTTTAAAATATTACTCAAAATATATAACTCGGTAAAGTTAAATTTATTAAACTGAAAAATTAAAAATAAATACTATTTTAAACGATGATATGTAAAAGCTACTTTAATTTAGAATTCATATTGTAAAAAATTATTTAATAAGATCCTATTATTTTATCAAACCTATTATTTCATTATCACAGTAAAAGCTCCAAAGTAAAACTCATAATGTAAAGCTGTAAATCTTAAATAAAAGAAAAACATTTACAAAAGCACATTCAAAAACAATTTTCAGACATAATTAAATCACCATTCTTTACATACGTATACACTTTACATACGTATTTCCAGAATAAGAGTATATGACAGAATTTATTTATAAAAAATAAAGAACGACTAAAAAAATTTTATAAAAAGAAAATTAAAAAAATAAGCAACTGAAGAAACAGAAATGATATGGATTTTGAAACAAAATAAACAAATCTTAATATAAGCAATTTTAGTGACTTTAAGCTAATTAAAATGTCTATAACTTTAATGCATTAAAATTTTTACAAAAAGACTTATTTATTTTAATATGTTCAAATTATTATAGGGTAAACATTTTCTCCCCAAAGTTTACAGTAAATTGTGTAATCGATGATAAATATAATCGATGATAAATATTTTCGATAAAAAACAAATGAAGAAAGGGAATTTTTAAGAGACATTAATACAATTTTTAAATTGGTGATATTCTAAAGTTTTACATTAAAAAAAGGGGGGGAACAGTTTTGAACAATTTTGAAAACATTTTAGCATTAAACTTACAAAAATTTTACATAATTGCGTTTTGTAGAGTATATAGAAATATTATATTTATCATCACAAAATACTTTTTCCATTCCAAAAGCTGTTTAACATAGCCAAAAAATATTAAAATAGCAGTTATGATTTACCAAATTACTCAAGAAAGTGCAGAAGTTTTAGAGTAAAATATATACCAAAAATTTTTTTCTCTATATATTTCTCTAATAATATTTTATTAATATAGATTTTATGGATAAATATATTTCATGAAAAGTTTTAATACACTTATTTCCCTTAATATGCTTAAGGAATTGTTCAGCCACTTGCTGTCAGGCTAAAAGCAAAAAACTATATATAATTTTAAACTTAAAAGCAAAAAATAAACTTTAATCTTCAAAAAATATGCATTTAATATTTTGCAGGAAACTAGACACATGCATATATACGGTTGTAATTTGAAGCCAACTATAATCTTAGATATTTATATTTTTATACAAGTGGTTTTTCCTCTTGGTTAAACATTTCATGAAGCTAGGAATTTTCTACACTTTCAGAGCACGTAAGTGTGTGTGTATAATATATATATATAAATATAGGTCGGGTGGCACAGTGGTTAGCGCATCATGCAGCAGCACCACAAGTCCAGGGTTTGATTCCCGGGCCTGAGAGAGATCGACTCAGCCTTTCATCCCTTGATGTCCATCACTTGGGTAGATAAAATGAGTACCAAGTTCGCTTGGGGACTAAACACTGGGGGAGGGGGCTATGACCCAAGCTGACCACTTGTTCAGGGCATATGCTTATGCAGCCTGGGGCCCACAGTCAAGAAAGCAGATTTTGGGCACTGCAGGCCTTGGCTCATTACGGCTGTCACGCCGAGTTTCTTAGTTTATATATATATATGCAATGATATTTTTAAATCAATTGATTAAATTAAATTCTATTAATATTGCTTAATAACCTGTTGGCGATTCTTTACCTAAATTGCATCCCTGTTCCTAAATTTTGGCGAAATCCTTTCTTTAGTATAAAATATATTAACCTGTTGGCGCCCGCCAAATCGCCAAACTCATAAATCTGTCATATTACATAAAGTGCTTAAGAACACTCCTGATGAAAAAGATAGCGTCACCTCGTGATTTCAATTAATATCGCTGATTGGAGGAGCCTCGTGACGCACACATATGTATAAGTAAAGCTTCTGCTCAAGGTACGAGGAGAAACGCTTGTGAGATGAATGCTAAAATAAACCTACCACCTTATATTCGAAAATTTGTCTCATTCCTGTTGCCCCGACTGCACAAAACAAATAATGTATGAGAAATTACATTTCATATATACACCAATAAAATTTCTTCTACTTTTGCTGCCTGGTTAATATTAATTCTTAATGATCAGGCTCATTCTCTGATAATTTAGAAAAGAATATTATACACAGAAAAGAAAAAATTCATCATTTTCTTCAAGACAGAATCCGAAAATAGTGATATTTTCACTTACGGCCCTTCAGAACTATTTTTACAATATATATATATATCTTAAAAATGCAAAGTGAAATTAATTAATTTTATTAACAGCTATAATAATTTAACATAATTATATAACTATGACGAATTTCATAATTTCCTCTAAATTAAATATTGTGGAAGAACTGAGAAATTCTACTTTTTGTAAGATGCTTTTGCATAATGCTTCAGAATTTAAAAGTCCATGAAATGTATAATGAAGACTTTGTCTTTATAAATATGCTCATATACACACACATGCAAAACTGTTGATATCTACACTATCCATGATATGAAAGTACCAAGGAAATATTTAAAATAAAATTACTTTTTTAGCTCAGGATTGCCTATCCAATTTAAAATAATGGGAAAAAAAGACTAAAGCTAAATACCATAATCTTTGCCACATATTTTTAATTTCTATACAAATATCTTAATAATATGACTAACGCTTGCTGCATTTTTAAACTAGAGAATAAATCATAGTTCAATAATTCGTGTAGCACACTTTTTTCGTTTTAATTTCACCTTTTCATATTCTTCAGTGTCAGGAGAAATAGGACTATTGCGATGACCAGGTCGAAGATTCATACCAAAATTGTGCATACCTTTGGCTATCCTTGACAAGGGTGACAAAACTAGATCTTTCTTTATAGCAATGGGGGACAAAGTATTGGACAGATTGAGAGAGGAGAGGGAAAAATCTTGTATTGCACTTTCGCTGTGTGATGTCTTCATCTTTGCATTCATGCCATCAGTATCAAGCATGACTTCTTCCTGCACTAAAAGATGAGATACTTCATTAGAGGTAGCCATCATACAAGGGCGGAAATCCAAATCCTCTGAGGATTTGGATAACTTGCGGGATACTCCAACTTTTCCAGAATTAGAAGCTGCCTCATCTGGTTTAGCATAAGCTGCTAAATTACTTTCAGTGCTAATATGGATCTGTGGCATTGAAGCCAAAGGCAATTGTTGTTTACAGTTTGTCAGTTCATTCGTTTGTTTCTTTGGTTTCCTAGTAATCTGTCGCAGAGATGCCTTTTTCATGGCATCTAAGACAAAATCATCTACTTCAGTATCATACCTTCTTTGATTGAAATTACTGCGATCCTCAAGAAAAACAAAATTATCATTTGCAGACTCATCTGATTTAAAATTAAATGTTGCCAAAATTCCACAGCTTTCAAGTACAGCATCATGTTTATTTTGAGTAGCACCATTATTCAAACATTCGGTGGAGAGCATCATCTCTGGTTCATCTACATCACTGAATTCTGAATAATCAGAGCTTAACGTGCGATCACTAATATGACCATGAAATCCAGCAGCTGTGTAAGTTTTATGATGCAGGACAGAATCTTCTTCTGATTCAGAAGAACTATCCATGCTAAAACGTGGACCCTATGTGAACAAAATTAAATATTAGTATTGTGCAGTAGCAATAAACTTCTTACTATAATTATGTAAATACTGTATGACTGAAAGTTATAGTAAACTCCGAATTTTACAAGAAATGTCTATAATCATAATTGAACTGTATTTGGAACATGCAATCCAAATAAGCAATTAAAAAAAATCTTCTGTTAACCTTCCAGCACGCACGCTTGGCAATTTTACATGAGCATGCATGCGTCATATTTTTTACGACATCTGTTATTTTACCGTTTTTGGCACGAAAAACGACAGAAATGAGTGAATATTGATAATAAATTTGTTAAGAAATAAAATATTAATCTTATCATTGCAAAATACAAATGATATCACATTTAAATGTAAGTAAATTATTTTTAAGTTCTTATGTTAGTGAGATGGAAATGCAATGATGTATTTAATTATAGAAAATTTTAAATTTATTATTTAATAATTATATTTTAAAATCGAAGCTAATTTTAATATACATCAGAGACAAGTATAGAAAATAAAAAAGGAAAACACCTTGGAAGGGAAAAAAGTAAGCTTAGCATTACTTACTTCTGAAAGGAAATTTACTTCTTACTGGTTACAAAAACGCACTTTAAACTAACCTGTTTAACATGTTTTTACTTATTTCTAAAAAATAGAAATAAAAGAAAAGAAGTGAATGGAAATCCCTATTGTTCTCCCATCCAAAGGTTTCCTTATCTTCCTTTCCTTCATCAGATAATTCTTGAAGAATCCGAGCAAAATCAGCTGGTTACATATATTTTTTTGCCATGAAAACCGATATTAAACTTACAGAGCCAAATGTATTCAAATTAAAATAATACACGGCAATTAATAACACAAAATGACAAAATATTTGAGAAAAAAATATTTTCCGAATTTTAAAACACGACCACGCGCCTGTCGTAACTTTTATAAAAAAGCTGCCACGTAGCACAAAAGCCCAGTTAAAAAAAAGTCAAATGACTTCCTGTTGGCACATTATATGATGTGGGGAAGAGTAGAAAGGAGGAATAGGAATGACCTTCAATACATCTCAGCTTTGATATGCGAAAAATGTGCATTAAAAACTGAATTTGTCATAAATTTTGTGCATACGCACGTGTTGGAAGGTTAAGTAACTTTCTAATTTTTTTTAATCTAATTTTTATTTTTATTTTTTACACTAAGAGTATTACTAATTTGATAAAATCAAGTTTAATTTCAAGTTTAAAAAATGGTAGCAACATGGCTATCAAAATGATTATGAGCTTAATAATATATCACAGATGTTTTGAAGAAATTTATAATAGTATCCCCTAAATTATGATTACAATTTCTTACTCATAACTCTATCCTATTGCCTGGTGCCAAAGAAATGAAAATCAATTTTTTGTCAACAACACTATTACTATAACTTCTGAACTGTAAAGCTGTATAAAATTCTTTTTCGTCAAGAGAATATACCTCATGTCACATGAATAAACCACAGATTTAACAAAGCGATGAAGAAGATTTGCATGATCTTTTATTTAAAATAAAAACTGAAAGTATCTAAACATATTTTAATGTATGGGATGAAGCTCAGATTTAATGAAACAGGCAATAAAATTTGTATATTTTTTATTTAAAATAAAAATTGAAATATATAATCGTATTTTAATGTATGGTTGGTTCTAAAGAATACAAATGTTGCTCCCATTCTGAGCAAAAATTCTGAGTAAAGCAGCATTTTGAATAAAAATGCCTCATACTTTATTCAAAATGTGTATGGATTAGTATATATTAATAAGGCATAAAAATGCCACACATGCCATCAAAAATACGGTTTGGTTTATTAAATTACATAATGTTATGCTAGATGTAACTTGAGAACTTTAAGAAAAGTAGCACTGTTTTGGAATAAAGATTCAAATATATTAGGAAAAAGTAATCGTTCATATTTAGGGCATTTCAAGGAAAACTGATTGGTATTGCGATACTAGTCAGCTTAACTCAAAAGTATTAAGTAATAATAGCTGAAGTACTAAGAAGTAAGCTGCAAAGATTTGAGTTAGCTGCCTTCATGATGATATATTTACTAAAAAGAATTTAAAATTTATTCAGAGTTTTCTCTCGAAAAGGGATCATATTTCAGTTTCTTCAAGATTTTTGCTATTAAAGTCTACTGCTATATACAATTTAGCAGTAGACTTTAATAGCAAAAATCTTGAATCTTGAAATTTCTTCTATTGCATAGAAGAAATTTTTAACAATAATTACTTTGTGAAGCCTATGTATATTTCTTAATGATTCAGATAAGCCAAAAAATATCCAAATTAAAAAGGTAACTACATTTTTGATTTAATTACATAACCTCTATTATAAATATAAGTATGTACTTAATATAGAGATAAGGTTTCATATAAATTTATATATTTGAAATATCTGATTCTTTAGTTGTGTATACACATTTAATTCAATACTTTTACCATTTCAGAAAGCTTTATACATTCTTTACAAACTGCATTACAGATTTTTCATATAAATTTATATATTTGAAATATCTGATTCTTTAGTTGTACATAAATTTAATTCAATACTTTTACCATTTCCTATTTTAAAATGTTTCATTGCAATACAGAATTCCACCAGATTTTTATGAATACTTAACAACTCAATGGTCAAATTCAAATGGTCCTTAGGTACTTTTTTAAATCAGTTTCATATTAGTATTTAATATATTACATTTTTCATTGCCTATTTTTTATTTATCTGGGCTATTTAAGTTCAACTCTGTAATGCAATTTGTAAAGAATGTACAGTGCGAAAAAAAAAAGGGGGGGACAGTTCTATATCTCCCGTTCTACTGGGCCGATTGAGAAAATTGCGTTTTTGATGTCTCGAAAGCGCCACTTAGGATTATATAACATTTAAATATAGCACAATTCTAACATAGGTATTTTGATGCAAAATCGGACTTTTTCTGAAATACCATACCATTGCTTTTACATATTTCGATTCTACGACTCAAATTACGCCAAACTGCTACGTTTTGTTAAACTCGGTCGAGTAGTTTTTAAAAAATTAGCTCTCAAAATTTAATTTCCTCAATGTTAATTGAATTTGGCATATATTTATTAATATCGGTTTTTTTATTAAATTTGTTTTACTTTTCCTTTTACATTTCAAAATTTAGGTTCACTCTAAATAAAAATCACTCATTTTTTGTGTTTTATTTTTAAAATTTCTATTTTTAAATAATTTTACAAATTTTTCAAAAAAAATTTTGAATTATAACCTATAAAATTTTTACCATCATCATTAAGTAGGTGTAGTTCTAAGCATACATGCAAAAAATTAGAGTTTTTTATTCAAAATTTCCGAAGATATGCACGAATTTACATATTTTCGCGTTTTGAAATTTGGCATCTTTTTTTTTGTGCGATAATAACTCCAAAAGTGGTTTATGGATTTTTGTTACAGTGAATTGCCACAGCTATTTTTAATTTTAAATTTCAATAAATTTTTACGGAGAATTACTTATATGACCGTGTTAACTGTGCTTTACTGTATTTTCTCTTTCAATATATTCAGTTTTCAGATGCATCCTAGTCTGAGACATAAAGTATTCTTCCAAAAGAAATGCAATTCAAATAAATTAAATGAAATCCTGGAAAATTTATATTAATAACTATATTTAAAATGCTCAGTTCGAATGAATAAATAGAAAATTTTAAAACAATTATCTGAGGAGACAATCCAACACCAACACAAAAGTATAAACCAACATAAAAGTATAAAAATTTAAAAATTACCTAAAATAATAACTATGATTAAAAAATATAAGAAAACTATTTGAAAAAATAAAAAACGATTCACCTTTTATTTAACTACGGAGTTCGAATGGGTAAATAGAAAATTTTTTAAAAAAAGTTATTCGAAAGAAACCAGCAACTTTAAACATTAAAATGACTGAAAAAGAAAAATACTTAAAAATAATGGAAATTATAATTAAAATATAATATGAGGAACATTATTTTTAAAAAGGAACGATTGTGCCTTTTTTTTATCTCACGGGAAAGGAAAATAGGTTGCCATATATTAAGAAGTTCGCCAAGTGAACTATTCTTGGCGCAACTGAAAAAAAAGTGCCAACATAAATTTGTGAATTTCTCCGTAAATTTCATATTTGGGGATAATTTGAGTCGTAGAATCGAAATATGGAAAAACAAAAATGGTATGTTATTTCAGAAAAAGTCTGATTTCGTGTCAAAATAACTATGTTAGAGTACAGCTATATTTAAATGTGATATAATCCTAAGTCGCGCTTTTCAGACATGAAGAACGCAATTTGAATTTTGTCAATCGGCCCAGTAGAATGGGAAATAGAGAACTGCCCCCCTTTTACAAACTGCATTACAGAGTTGAACTTAAATATATAGCCCAGATAAATAAAATAGGCAATGAAAAATGTAATACATTAAATACTAATATGAAACTGATTTAAAAAAATACCTAAGGAGCATTTGAAATTGACCATTGAGTTCTTAAACATTCATAAAAATCTGGCGGAATTCTGTATAGCAATGAAACATTTCAAAATAGGAAGAAAAAAAAAAAGTAAAAAGGAACCTCAATTTGGAATTTAAATGATATCAGAGTAAAGGAAAATTTTGAAAATGATGAGATGTCAGCACGTTTGACAAATTTTTTCATTGTGGAAAATATCAGCCAGAAGAAATTGATTTTTTGCTAATTTTATATTATATTTATATATTATACTAGTCAATTTAAATATTTTCATTATATGTATATTTAGCCTCATTTGCATGCCTGAATACTGTCTTAGTACTATGTGTGAGCAAAACTTTTAAAATTTATTTATAAAAATCTTAAATAGTAATGATCCTTTTCTCACTGGTTTGAGACAGAAAAATTTAATGAAATATCATGTCAGTAAATGAATAAGAGTTGTGCCATATTTTTCAATGGATCCTTTTATAGAAAATTGTTTAATTAATTTACATTTTTCACAGAAGTAATAAAATACTTATTTCCTAATAAGTTAAATTGTTATTAGTAAATTTATCTCAATTAGCAGCTCACCGCGTGTACCATGGTTAATTTTTTTTTAGTTTCTTATATTTCTCCCCCCCCCTTTAATTTTTTCAGTTTCTTCCACTGTCCTTGCAGAAGAAACCAAACTTTGAAACAAGGCTTTAATGAAACACTCATTAGACAGATTTCCTTATTCCAAACATTCCCATAAGCTGGAGCTTAGAACGGTAGTTTCTGATTTTTCCTTTGCATTAATGTCTTTCCCAACTTTTGCTTTTAAGTTTTAATAACTAGAAAATATTCTCTTTCCACCTTATTGAAGATTGAATTTTTTACATTGGTTTTAAAACTGTTGCTTTTAAAATCAAAATAATGCGATTTTAAATAGTAGTAGCAATAAAGCAATTTTAACAAGTGATAACTTCAATAAAAAGAAAAAAGGAACATACCATTGATGTACTTGTCTCATCTACTGATGCCAAATTTGAAGAAGCACAAGTAGTAGTGCCATTAGTTGTTTTTTTACCTAAAGATTTAACAGATCGTATAGGATTTAGCTTGGCAAAATGAGATGTTACATTACTCAGTGCACGAGAGCCAACAGTTTTCAAAGAATTTAGCTGCCCTTCTGAAATATTGCGAGGCATGGAAGAAAATGATGGCAATTCTAGATGAAAGCCTTGATTAGGACTGTGACCCTGATGACTTCGATTGCTTCGAAAAACACTGGCTCTCACAGCAGCCTGAGAGAGTGGCATTTTGCTCTTTCTTCTTTCTAGTTTGCCTTCAAAAATAGGAACATTTAATTCCTTTACACAAAGAGCAACTTTGAATGTTTCACAGATGGCTTTTAATGATTCTGGAAATAAAAATTAGAAAATGAATCAAATCCTTGAGATGATCAAAGAAAAATAAATGAAACAAAATTTTAATCAGATTTAAGAAAGTAATTTACTTCATGATATTAGGAAATATTTTGGGACATGCTATAAATTAGAAAAATTATAATTAGCTTGAATAATTTCTTTAGGTAGGGATCATACCAAAATATGCGAGCATCAGAAAACACTGAATATAAATACAGTGGAAAATGCAGAATATTTTACGGTACTTAGGTATTATCGCAACCAGGTTGGCACGATTTGTAAGTTTGAGTAAAAAAGTATGAATAGAAAGAAAATGTACATTTATTAATTACAAATAATTTTTAATACAGTTTTTTTAATTATTTTTTGTTTTAAAATATAAAATAGCAATTAAACCCTTCCAGTTTCGAATTTGAATAAGTTGCAGAATTATTTTTTCGGCGGAAATCTTTTGGCTATTGCTTTTAGCACTGATTGAAAACCATCTTCGCCATTAACAGCTTAAGCTTGGCGCCATATAAATTCGATAAGGTATGAGTCAAAATGATGACGGGCTGTTCCTCTCTGTTTTTTGTTGCGCCATTTGGCTGAGCCCACATGCGCTCTACATGTTGTGTGTGAACGCCCGTGTTGGGATCCACAAAGTTATATTTGTGATTAACAGTTCCATGCAGAAATCCAGCATTTTCGAACTCACTTGTATTGTATCCTTTCCAGCAATCCGAATAAATGATGCTTCCTTCCTTGATATTTTCGCAAATTTTTTCCATGAGGGTACCGGCGCTTCTGTTAGGTACAGTAACCAAAAAAAGTCTCTTTCTTTTCTCGGCAAATTCCGCCGAAAACCCATTGCTGTGGTAGTACACGCCAAGTGTTATTTTTTCTTTTTACAAATAAATTCTTTTTACAAAACTACATATAACACGTAGGGTTGCTGTAAGTAGGGTCGCCAAATTTGGCGATTTATCCGAATTTTGGCCTGGTTGCGTTAATACGTAAGTACCTATTTCCCTATAAAAGTTGAATCTTATATCTATAAAGAATAATTTATAAAAGTTGAATCTCTTATCAGTAAAAGTATTTATCGTACCAACTTTATAGGAATAAAAATTAATATTAAAAAACTTTCTTGACTTCTTCCACATGCATATTTTATTCAAGTTTGATGCATTTTTGGTGTTTCACTTAAACAATGTAGCAGTGTTTAAAAAAGTATTAATGAATGTCACAGTGTTCGTTATGCTACCACTGTTTGAAAATGTGCTGCTTCAAAAAACAAAAAGTTGTATTGAAATTACAAGCTATTTTATTTAGCTCAGAGTCCAAAAGATGTGAATTTTGTTTGGCCACTTACTATTTTTAACTTATTTCTTTAGCGAGGCAACTATTTTTCCAGGTAACTTATGAATTTGAAGACCATTTCCAGAATTATGCAGGATGCAGTTCTTCATATGTTACTATGGAAATAATTTGAAGTCTGTCCCCAATTCCAGGGCAAAATTATAAAACATGATAAAAAATTTAGAGAATAACAAGAACATCACACTGTTGAAAATGCTGTGCATTTATTAATTTATTTAAAAAAATATTTACATACATCAATGAAGTCTCACAGATTTTTAATTTAGTTCAGTATAAGTTTTCCCATTTTCGATTAGAGGTGTCCCTGTTTTTTGAGTAACAGACTCCCCTTTTTTAATTCTTTAAAGAAACTGAAAAATAATTAGTTTGACTAAGTGCTGTATCCCAACAATCTGACTCATTAAATCTAGTTTTCCCATGTATAACATAAATATAAATTAATTTTTATTAGCAAGTCTTCTACAATAACATTCCTCTACAAAAGCAAATAACCCTCTTTGCCCTAATTAAATTAACCAATCAAGTAAGTTCTTCAGAACAGTTCTGAAATAATGTATTACAGAAAAGATCTGCCACTCTGTTCAGCTCAGGTTGACTGAGATGTCACCTACTTAGCAGTGGCCTGCACCTACCAATTACTTCAAAAGGTTACAACACACACTTTCATGTTCCTTCTCACCAGAAGAAATTTTCTTATATTCTTACAAAAAGGTATAAGGTATTTTCTCCCTCTTTTTTGCGCACCTTCATGATGTAAATGGAAACATGCTCAATGAGTACTCAGGAGGTCCAGAATTTGAATCCCGGTGAGGGCATTGCGAATTTCTTCAGTTTCTTGACTTAAAAAAAATCCTAATAACTTTACAAGTAACACCCAAACAAAAAGGTGGTAGATTGTAATTTGTCACCACCAGGATTATGTGACTCAGTCCCATCACTCCCAGTGACCTTTAAGAGAAGGAGTATACAAGGTGTTTCCTCTATCCTCTCCACATGCTTTCATGGTGTAACTGGAAGTACACTTGACATGTATTCAGGAGATCTGGAGTTTGAATGCTGGTGAGGCCATTGCCAGATTTCTTCAATTTCCTGACTTTAAATAAAAACTTAATGACTCTACAAATGATTTGCAAGTCTTAAGCAGTAGCATGTTATTAACAAATAAGTTTACTAGTCCATTCCTGCACATAATTATTTATATGCAAGATTATGTGGGACAATTTTGGCCCATGTATTTTCATAATGCATTTGTTATGACATGGCATTACAGTATTTTTAATGTCCGTGCCCATGAAATTTGTGTATATGCAATATATAAAAAAAATTCTTTTATTAAACAAAAGAATTTTCAGGGGCATTGGTCATATTTAACAACACACTAAAATAGTACTGGTTGTATTTAGAACATTTTAATTTCTTTCATTGATTACACTGACTGTAATTATTTTGCTGCTTTTTAATAAAGGTCAGATTAATAATGGATTGTTTAGTCATGAATCCAAATATGAATTTCTGACAAGTGACAGAATATAGAATCAACAGAAAGTTATTTCTATGCATTGTCGATTATCTGAAATTCATGCTTGAATTTTTAATTAAGCAGTCATTTTGGCTAAAACATTCTGCTTATAGCTTTTAGTATTAATAATAAAAATATTTTCATCATAAGCTATAATTGATAGATAATTCTCATGGCTGCTACTGCATTGGCTTTCCTTGACTTGAAGAGCACCCAGACATTTCATTCATCCAAGGTGTAGTAGAAAAATGTTTCTTAAATGTAAAAAAAAGCTTGAAAGTGTCAATAAATATCATGAATATGACAGTGTGGTTTTTTTAAAATTTTTTTTAATTTTAATTTTAATTTTTTTTTTTAAGAGAGAAAGAAAAAATAGAACAAATACCACTGGAAGATTTAAATTCCAAAGAACATTACCTTCTACATCAACCAGTTATCAAACCAGATAATCTTACTTCCAGGTTAACACCTGTATTTGGTTCTCCATGCAAATTGCAAAGTAATGCTTCATTCAAACAAATGTCTTGTTCTCATTAAGCAGACACTTTCAGTTATATTAAGATTCAGAGAAAAACATTCTTAAGTAAGTTCAAAAATATGACATATTTGTCTTCAAACAAAGCAGATGCAAGCTGTCAAATTTAAAAGCTTATTTTGTACTCCCCCCCTCCAAAAAAAAAGAGTACATCATAAAGTTTTTCGAATATCTTTTATTCTGAAATATCAAAAGATGCCATTAACAATTTTTTCCATTTTATGACATTTAGGTAACAAGAAAGAGCAATTTAGATGTCCTTGAATTCATGTTAACGTCATCACAATTTACATATAATTTATGAAATTTGGTTTCTTTTATTGTCTTACAAATACTGAAATTAATTCAGCTCTCCTAATTATTTAAGTGATGTTGATTTTGAGACTTACATGGCCAAACGAAGCCCTACATTTAAAGGCTTGTTTTGTATGAAGTAACAAGCATTTTATGAAAGGTACCATTTCATGTACTAAAATGTAGAAACAGTTATTTTATGTTGCATTATTTTGTATATGTGTTTATAATTATAATGATGTCATTTTTCTGCTTGCTTAGATTACATTTAGTCACACAGCTATGTGCCTTGGTATGCACTTCTCATCAGAAATTCTAACAATTGTAACAATAGATAATTTTTTACAGTGCTTTCCTTCCTCACTATTTCAATCTTGACACTATCAGTTGCTATATTATATTTTAAAAGAATTATGTTTTTATAGCTTTCTCAAGCAGCTTTTTTTATTTCAATCTTGATATGATCAACTGCTTCACTGTACTTTAAAAGAATTCTGTTTTTAAATTGTTAAAAATTAAAAACACATTTTAAATTGTTTCAAGAATTTTTTGATAAAATTATTAGCATTTACACGACAATAACATGCTCCTGCATATATGCAGGATATGCTGTATAAAACGGAGTTACTTTTATTTATAATAACAATCAAAATTTTAAGTCATGTAAATCATCTATTTTTAATAAAAAAGAATAATTTGAAAGTTCCATCCCTCCTCTAAACTATGTAGTCACCATAGCAGAAGATTTAACATATACATGCAATCCTGAGAACAGTATCTTTTTTGTTAATTATTTCATGATTACAACCATACTCACCTTCAGTTAGTAGGCTTGTTATTTTCAAACATAACTTACATCTGTAGCTAAAATTTGAAGTAATAATTTATGAATTTACTTTTTTGACTTATAAAGAAAATGATTACCACTTCAACAAGCCCATCATTCCATTAATAACAAGAGATAAAACAGGTAAGCTACTTATAAAAGTGTTGTTATTTTTTAAATGATAACTTACTATTATATTTCAGATGAAATAAAAATTCCAATCCCACCGTTAATGCTATGAGACAGCACTACTTATATCAATAATTAAATGAGATTTTAACTTTACATCTCCTTGTGAGTAAGAACTTTATGCATATGCTAATAACTTTAGTGCATATGCTAATAACTTTAAGAAGGGAATAGTCTAAACATCTCAGAAATAATTTTTTTACAAATTTGTAAGACTTATTAGAACATTAAAATACATAATTCAACACAAAATAAAACAAGAGTAAAGTATATTTTAAGTACCAGCTGCCTCTTCTTCACTGCATATAGGAACTGCCATGTTGTTGAAAAAACGTGTGTTAGTTGAACGAAACATATGAAAGTATCCTGACTGCCCATATACAGAATAATGTAAACGAAGGCAATAATGTTTTGACTTAAAAACACCGGGTTCTGGACCTAAAAAAAATGGGAAATTAACTTATTAATAATGTTTCAGACAAAAGAACTCATAATGTGAATACTTATGCTTCCACATTATTGGTTTGGATACCTTTCAAACATCTCTGCTTTAAAAATCATGATTTGCAAAATTTTTATAAAGTTTCAAAACGTATGCCTATACATTAAGTAGTTCTGTATTTTAAAATCATATTTTCTTATAAATCACACTATTGCATTGAATTCATGAATTTTGCTGACATTTCATATGAATACTAAACATGAAATTTAAAAGCAAGAAAAGAAAATTAATTTAAATACAGGGTTCATACACATGTCTCCGTGTAGAAATTAAATACTTTCAATGACTGTCAATGAAAAAAAAAAAAAAATTAAGGACCTATCAAACAAACAGGAATTGAAAAAAACTAATACAATTATCTACACCCGAACTTCACTTTTGTAATTTGTAAGAAAATAAATCTAGAAGTCAGATGCATTATTATTAAACATAGTCTAATATTTAACTCATAGAACACATTCAAAAATAAAATTAATAAATTTTTTCAATCAAGTAACATTAAATTATAAAATGTCTTGAAATTATTTCAACCAAATAACATTAAATTATAAAATGTCTTGAAACACTTATATTTTACATTTATAATAGTCCAACAAATTTTAAAGAAGATAAGCAGATTTTTATTTAAATTTTCCTAACAGTACACTTTATAGTGATTTTCTTTTCTTCTCATTTCATTGTGTACTCACTCAGTCCAGAGGTTAATGCAAATTTTATGTCAAGTGGCATACCTATAGTAAGGTTTAAGGAAAGGTGATAATTCCTTTTAATACACAGAGATAACTTCAAAGGGCAAGCAGTTAGTTAGAAATAATCAAATTACATAGTTATATATCCTTAGTCAAAAAAGATTTACAGTTATATATATATATTATTTTTAATTTTTGAAAAATACCCATTAAAAAGCACTAAGAACATTTTTACAGATGTTATAATTTATGATATTGATTCTAAAATGATATTACTACAATTATGCATTAAAAACATAAATGTTTTGTAGCTTTCAATGTACAATTTCCTTCTCCTTAACACTGTTCCTAAGTTTATTTGTTTTAATAAACAAATCCATATTTCCACTAGTTCTTTTTTTATCTCTTGTTAATGTTTCAACAATATACCTTTGAAAAATAATTCTCTCTCTCTTTAAAAAAGCAATTTCTTCTTCAGTGAGTTTCCTCTTCATTTTAGAATTTTCAGATTTAATTAGATGTTTCCATTATTCTAAAGAACATTGTACTTAGAATGTATAGAAAAAGCCACTCATTTTATTTCTTAAAAATATGAATATTGAGAATGAATATGACATGATACAAGGGGTGATCAAAAGAAAAGGTACGAAAGGACACGGTGGGTACAAATGTAGACTTTATTCAAAATATACACCATAGACCTGAGCACAAAGATCCTACTGATGAACAAGCTGCAGGACTCCTTGTTCCCAGAATTCCTGTGGCCGTGACGAGAAGCAGTCCTCCACAGCATCCTTGAGTACATCGTCCCAGTTGAAGGCGCCCTTTCAGGTGTTTCTTCAGTTGATCAAACACATTTAAATCGCAGGGCGACATGTCCGTAGCGACATTCTGACTGTAGGGCAGATGGTGTAATGTCTCCCACTTGAACTTGGCCAGTTCCATGTGTGTGACTTTGGAGACGTGTGGACGCGCATTTTCATGGAGCAGAAACACACCCTCCATGAGCAGCCCCGGTCTTTTGTTCTTGATGAGCCTGCGTATGCGTCGGAGTGTCTCACAGTACACATCGGAGTTAATGGTTTTTCTGTGTTCTAGGAATTCCACAAGTAGTGGACCTCGAACGTCGAAAAAGATGGTGAGCAACACCTTGCCTGCTGACGGTACGGCTTTGAACTTTTTAGGGGAGGTGACGACACATGCTTCCACTTCATGCTGTCCCATCACTTTTTTCTCTGGTCTCATCACCTTTTTCTCTGGCTCGTAGTGATGGCACCAGGTCTCATCACCTGTGACGATCTGCTCCATGAAAGCGGGGTCTTCCTGATACCGAAACAGATGTTGCAGTGCTAGCCCCATACGCAGTTCCTTTTACTGGTCGGTGAGCTGCTTCGGAACCCAAGCGGCACACACATTCCGATATCGCAACCTGTCATGAAAAATTGTCCACACGGTTCCATAGCTGACATCCACCTTCACCACCATTCGCAATGTGACACGCCGATCACTTCTCACTAGGTCGTCCACTTTATCGATGAGATCGCTCGTGATGACAGTGTTTGTCTGGCCTGGTCTCGGCTATCACCCACACTCTCATGGCCTGCACGAAATCGGACACTCCATTTTCTGACAGACTTGTCAGAGACACATTTCTCCCCGTAAACTGTCACCATCCGGCAATGAATAGCTGCTGGTTTCTCACCTTCCGCTGTCAGAAATCGGATAACACCTCGCTGCTCCTCAGTCGTCGAATTTTGCAACGAGAACGCCATCCTGTCCTCATATGGACTGCCGCATCATTTGGACCCCGCTTTTGATAAGAGCCTCTGCTCTCTCCTGCGCATGCGGGTGCCCACGCAAACTCCGATCCCAGTCAGAGACTCCAATCGCATCCTGAGATGTCTCGCTACATTCTCCCATGGTGGAATATGAAAATATTTAACTATTACGTTTTTACGTCGTTTTGTACCTTTTTATTTATCATCCCTTGTATCAGGTCAGGGCTGGCAAAACCAGTGTAGCAGAATATTTAGAATTTAGTGAAGCGCTCAGCAACAAAACTTAGAAATGGCAACATTTTTAGAATTTAGGTGAGGCACTGAGGTATATATGGTGCACTGAAACATATATGATAAATTGTTGGTCATATATGGTAAACTGTTAGTTCTCCAATTCCTTCAATGCTTGTGTCTAGTGGAACAGTAGAAAAAAAAAAAAAAAAAGAAGAGAAGATAAATATTTTAGAAGAAAGACTTTTGGTATCAAAAGGAGAAAATTTATATAATTTTGTTTTCACTGTTTTTTGAAAATTTTTCCAAAAGATTAGAAATTCACCAAAAATACCATATATCACACATCTACATGTTAATACCATAAAAAAACTTTTCATTTCCTCACATTTATCTGGAAATTGCAAATCTATAAATCTTGCCTTAATCCTTCTAAACCTTCCAAGGTGCAAGATTTAAAATCCGAAAGAAAAATTATACCTATCAACAGCATTTTTTTTAAATTCAAAAAACAGAAGTGTAAAGTGAATTTTTAAAAGAAAACTGATAAACATTTAAATATTCTGAAACAATTACACAAGAAAAAATTCTTATCATGAAAAAATATAAAAGAAGACGAAATTAATTTTTAATAATTACAATAGCCCTTTTGTTTTTTTAATAAGATGTGTTTTTGAAACTTTGCCTTATTAGCATTTATTATCTCATTTAATTTTCAGAATCAAAATATTTAAATCAAATCAAAATATCATAAGTCACAAAAATAAGAAGTAATGCCACTTTAAAATATGGTAGAAGAAAATAACGCTTTATTTTAATGTTATTTCTTAAATATAATTTTAATAAATTATTATTTTTATGATATTTATCAATGTTATTTTATATATGTAAAAAAAATTGTCAAAAAATTTGCAAACTTCCAAATAAAAAATTTTTGTATAAAACTGATCTTGAAACCGAAATGTTGATAAGTCACCAAACTTAGCACCACATAACAGAAAAACTCAAATCCCAAAAAAGGGAAAAACTGTTTTTGACGTAATATTTTATGAACTTGGTATTTGTAAAAAAGAAATTATTTCAAAATGTTTACATTTCAATCAAAGCAGGGCTTCATGCCTAAAACTCGAGTATCCACCATTCATATTAAGTAGGAAAGAATTTTAGCATTAACCCACTGAATACATATTTGTCAATGTATCGCCAAAAAATATTCTTGCAAAATGCTAATTCACACTCAAAATGACAGTCATTAAAAACAGCAAGAAATGTCAGATGAGTAAAATTACAAACCTTTCGCCAATTTGGCCTGAAATTAAGTAAGATGAAATTAAGTAAGAATTTTAAGATGAAAAATTTTTTTTTCAAAAAACCTAAGGACTCCGAAGTACCATATGAACCCTGTTTATAACAGCTCTTCATCATAATTTAAAGTAACTAAGAGCAGCTATTGTTGAATCTGACCTAACTTATGTTTAAATTCACCGGACTGATCCTTTGTATATATCAATACAGAAACAGAATATTTATATTACAGTGTAGTTACAGGTGGTCGTGATATCATAATTCAATTTTAAGCTGTTATTAATCTAAAAGAGCAGCTTTAGGCTTTACTCAAAAATCCCATGTCAGATTCATTTGAAATTCATAAACTTTCTGTAAAATTTATGCTAAACTGTATTACTTTCTGTAAAATTTATGCTAAACTGATCTGAATTTTGCCTACTTTTAAAGTTAGCGTATTTTTCTTATATTCATGTAGTACAACTTAAATTATGCATAATAACTAGTGTGCAAAACTTATGCAACAAATATCATTTTTCAACATAGAACCATGAAATTTAAAAATAGCTCAGTAACAACTTTATGTTTGGCATAGGTTTTAGTCAAGATTCTATCAGTTTCAAGGACAAACATGTACAAGTCCCTCTCCAGGAGCAAAGAAATTTGTAACAAAGGAAAAGCCACTATGGTATTTATACCCAAAAGGGGTTAAGATAATGAGAAAAGCAGCAGCATCTGTCAGCATAAATAGTAATGAAAATTGAAAAATTAAGTTAATAGAATCTTAAAAGCATTAGGAAAGATTGGAGTGGAAGTCATTAACTAAGTAAGATAAATCTTTGTGAATATGAAAAGCTTCAAAGCTAATTTACCAATGCAAGATGTTTTCCAGATAATTTTTGCAGACCCAAAATTATGATTAAATTGTTAACTATGATTAGCCATCAAAGACTT